ATACCTGTGAGCAGCCTGAGGCTCCACATGTCCCCCGGAGACGCCCACCCCGGAGGGAGAAGGACAGGTAGACACCAGTGTCCGAATGTGAGCATGACATGTGTCCCTCCCTGTCCTTCATCCCACAGATCCCTACTCTTTGAACCAAATACCAGGGAAAGAGGAGGGAAGAATATAGGTGGGGGCAAATCACATCTTTCAGAAATATTCTGTAATTTTAATGTTTAAGTAACACAGGTAAGCTTGATCTCCATTGGTCCAAATTACTGAGTCACAGCTAGGAGTCTGTTCTCTCACCACCCACATTTTGCTACTTGGCCTTACAATTTACATTAACTGTCTTTAATAGTTTAATAGTCAAAATAAGAAAAAACTAATCAAAGTGCCAAGTTTCATACCTCATCTTTTCTCTTCCAGTTATATTCTTTCTTGGTTCCCCGAAGATTAAGTTTGGCTGATGTTAAGCAAATGCATGAATTCAACAGAAAAAGTGAGTTAGGAATTAAGAGCAAAGGCAACAAAAGAATGTTTTGAAATACCAGTTTGCTTTCTCCCCCCAAAGCCTTCCTTTTCTCTTCCGAAGTTCATACAGGCACTTTACTTTCTTCCCTCAGAAGGGAAGGTTTGTAATAGGCTCCCAAAAGTCTGATACAAGGGCTGACAAACTCGGATGAGAAGAGACAGATCACGGTCCAGGGGTGTCCAAATGTGGCCCGTGCTACCTATGAATGTGGTGGTGGGTATCACAAAAATTATACACAGACCTTTCTTTCCTTATCGGCTTTTGTTAGTGTTTGTGTGTTTAATGTGTGCCCCAAGGCAACTCTTAGATAAGCATTTGTAGCCAGCTAGGAGTCACAACTGGAACCCTACCATGCACAATTAAAGTGGGCTGGATAAAGACAAGAGGGAGGGGTGCAGACTGCAGCGAACTGGAGAGCATCTACTCTCTCTATAGAAGCCAGATGTTAGTCAGCTCTATCTAAGTGTCACCACATACAGGAACAAGGGCTGAGTGTTGGTAGACCTCATCATTCATGAAAACCTCAACATCTGCTTTTTTAAAATGTGAAACTTCTTTGCGTTTCTACTTGGCAACTAATTTATAATTTTTAAGAGAAAATGTGTGTGGGGGCCAAACCCAGCATAATGGCCTCGATCCAGTCCATGGTTGTACCATTTGTGACTTTTGTCTCAAACAAATTGGGGAATACAGAATGAAGTGTCTCCTTCAGTCCAAAGATGATTCCTGAGGTCCTGATGGAGAGAGACCTATAAGCCCAGAAACAGTCAGGGCCTGAGTCCTGCTTGTGAGCAGTGCTTATAATCTGTGACTCAGGACATGAAGGCTATGTTAACCAGTTTGATGAGAGTATTTCAAAATGTATATGAAAACACCACACTGTACCCCGTGATTGCATTAATGTTCACAGCTATGATTTAATAAAAAAAAAAATAATAATAATCTGTGACTCAGTAGTCCTCAGGGTGCCCCAAAGGTACAGGCAGTAGGCCTTGAGCTCCCAGCCTTCCCATAGACTCCTGTGCCCCCAGAGTGGTTCAGAAGCAGCAGAGCAGCAGATCAAATAAGACTCTGTGGGCTGGAGAAATGGTTATCTGGGTGCTAGCCAACTGGGAGCCAGGAGCACAGGGAGTTCCCTAAGTCATGATGCCACATATAATCCCAGAACAGGGGGTGGAAAGAGGCATAAGAGTGTCCGAGGTTCAAATTGCTGCTAAGGGAAAAGCATAATTACTTATTTCATGTCTGTCCTCCTCAGAAGGACAGAAATCTTGTCTGGTTTATTCACCAGCTAGCACTTGGCATAGCGCCCAGCACACAGTGGGGCTGCATTTTATAAAAATTAGGCAAATGAGAAACAGCGAGATAGAAAATATTGATAAAATCTCACTTTTGCATCGAATTCAAAGTCATTTAAGTTCTCGCTCCAAATTCTCAATTCATTAATAATTGTGAAATATCTAAGCTGGTGGATTGCATTAATTGTAAACAACGGGGATGGGACAGACTCAAGTTCCAAAGCAAGGGTGACTGGGGATTCAAGCTGGGACAGCTGGGAGAATGTTGACGTTGGGCTTGAGAAACCAGGTCTGAGCATGAAATGAAAGATGTTGAGTGTGTTTTCTGTAGACAAGACCTTCTTATTCAGCTTCTTTGTATAATGCCTAGCCCCATGACGCATGCAATGGGGTGCTGATACACATTCAGAGCTGTGACTGTGGTCTGGAATATCCAGTGGGTATGGGTCAGGTTTCATATTCCCTTGCAGGGAACAAACCAGGGCTCACTGTGAGAGAGACTCCCCCTGCCCACTTCCTGCACTGCCCCTAGCAGTATTATGTGGCCCCAGCCTACCAGGGCAGGTACAGAGCGCAGCATAGAAGCTGCTCTCTCCCCTGTCACATGTGTGGAGGGAGGGACACAGGAGGGAAAGGATTTCAGGGTCTGCAAGTCTCTGGTAAGATTCCCAAAAGCAATGTGGCAGCCAGGGTGGGCCCAAAGACAAGGGCTAATGATGAGCTCACATGATACCCTTGCAAATCACTTTCACAGAATTAAATGAGTGTTTCATGCACTGAAGCTCCCTCTTCATGGTTTTTCTCCCACTAAAGGGAAATCCCTTACCCATGGTGTTATCAATAGTTTTGGCAGGCTCAGATGCTAGGATTACCAGCAGCTTGCTTAAATCAGAAGTTCCCTGAATCTAAAGGAAAAAAAGATCAAAACTAGTCAAAAAGCATTCTTTGATCTCTAAGATAGCTGCTTCTCAGCTACCTTTCCAAAGAATTTAAGAAATAAACCAACGCATGGAACTGAGTCTTCAACCCCCATTCTGTCTTTTTATTTCAAATCCTCTCTGACGTTGTTTCGGGAAGTCTCAGACCAGCAAATTGTCACATACTTACAGACGCCAGAGAGGAAATTTCTATACCTCTCTTGGAACTAGCCGGGAAATTCCCAGTTTGGAAAGCAAGGAATCGGCAGCATGGGACGAGTTGCTTTTGCTCCCGCACTGATGCCCGAGGGCTCAAGACCTGGCCTCCCCAGGATGGCAGGACCTTAGAGCTTTTGTTCTGCATGCCACAAAATCTGGCTCCCAGAAGGCCAGGGGGAAACAAGTAATAATTATTCTAGCTCCCACGTCTAGATACAACATATTACCTCACTTAGTCCTCATAATAATCTGGTAAGATGGCTGCTGCCATTGGCCTGTCTTACTACAGAGGAAACGGAGGGTCTGACAGGTTAAGTGGCTCCCCTGTGCTCTTGCCCCTGGTAGGAACCGCAGTCACGTTTTAAGTCCAAGTCTGCCTGACTCCAAACCCTGGTCTCTTAAGGCACTGAACTGCACGTTTTGTTCCTGTTGCCCCCCCACCCCCGCCTCTTACCTCCACCCGTCATTTCAAACCTAAAGAGATTTTCATTTTCCTTTAAAAATATTTAAATTACTCTCATCCTCTGAATTATTGAAAAAGACAAACTGAGGATGTTATTGAAGAGGCAAATTCACTTTTTATGTTTACCAACATTTCCTGCACATAAAGTTTCATTTAATGAATGCCTTTTCACAGTCTGAACCAGCAGAAAGGGGAGAGACTACTGTCAGCTTAGACAGATGTCCAGCTCTTGTTCCAGCCTCTTGGTACTCCCCATTCCTGGTCTCACCCATCTGTCACCCTTGTGAGCCAACAGCAGGTGGGTTGGCCCATTAAGGACCTTACTTTTAACTTCCCCATCCCCTACTATATCCTAGGCTCACACTTACCCTTCCTTTCAGAAGCATGAAATAATGTGGCCCAGGACCCAGGGCCTACTATCAAATTGTACCCACAGTCCCTAACGTAGCAACAAAGTGACATGGGTCCTATGCAGCTCTCTTCCTATCAGCCAGTGCAGATACTTCCAGAGCCACCTAGAATACAACATCAGTGCCTTGATGTGAACTAGGAAAATTGCACTACCTCCCATCCTTCCTCTGGGAAGGGTCAGCTCCACATCAGGGCAAACGGGTTGGCATGCAGAAAGCAGGCAGATTCCAGCCCCCTTGCCCCTTGGCAACACCCTTGTGTAGGGCACCTCTACTATAGCATACAGAATCCCTGGGTACATTTTACTGTTTTATTTAAGGCAGCTAAGAACCACAGGGTCTTTCCAGGTTAAATTTCTTCTTAAGGTGGTCAGATATTGACTTTTGAAGTCAATTACAGGGCACATAAAAAGCAAAAAACTCTAGAAATTATATTCTTTACCTGCTCGCAGGTATCAGGTAAAATGCAAGGTGCAAGATATGGTTCCTCTGTCTTCATATCAATTACACTGCCATACACAATAATAACAAATTTCATGGTCACATTATTAATAGTCATTTCATTATAGCTTGATAAAGTCTCCACATAGGCATGATTGAACTGCACACACTTCTGGAACGTTAAGTCCTGTAATAAAATTACATTTTTTTCCACATATCATACTGACACATGGCATCAAGAATAAAACAGATTCACTGATCTAGCTAGATCCTTTGAAGATATCAGAAGGCACATGGACCCTGGTACCAACAGACAGAATTTATTTAGAGTTCAGAAAGGCCTCTGTGGAGTTTGGGACATCCACGCTTTCATGTTGTCATTGTGTCATGACCTTGATCTGTGAGCTCTCAGTCAGCCACAGCAGGGTGGTCAGCTATGCCTCAGCAGATTTCTGTTTGCGCAAGAAACAGAGTCCTAAAGATTCAGAGGTTATACCCAGCAGTAAGAAAACATCCCACTTGACAAGTGAGCAAACAATAACAGAAAGCAAACACAAAACAAAGCAAGGCTTCAAGTCGGAGCTACACTTCAAGGCTCAGAATCATCAGCTTTAGAACTGGAGGCCAAGGCTACTTGGGAGTCTGTGGCCAGGTCATGGCTTGAGCCCAAGAGTTTGAGGTCACTGTGAGCTATGATGCCACTGCACTCAACCCAGGGCAACAGAGTGAGACCCTGTCTCAAAAGAAAAAAAAAGAACTGAAGTTGTTAGAGGTTGAATAGTGCCCTCCCCAC